GGAAACTCTCAGTCACTCTCTCTTCCCAACGTTAGGTCTTGTCCTGATGCAACGAATAGGTTACTCTTATTGTATCCTTGTTCTCCATCTTTCCCCTTCAAACTAGCCACAAATGCAAGCACTCGTGTCAAGCATGATCAATATTATGAACTCTAGGTTAGTACTCTGAGTCTTCAGTGACAATTTTAATAAAGTATCAGATCGAGAGCTACCTGTACACTGCGTGCGACCCTAAGAAGGTGTTCGGGACGCTAAACTGTCCCGTCAAACACTCATCTTTTGACATGTAAGGTGTGCTTTAATCTCCCATGTTGAACATAAGTTTTGTCAGGAGTTGGGCAGATGTGGAGCCCCCTGAACCCATTCTGCCTGGCTGTCAATTTTCTGGGGGCGGGTTGTACTCGTACCCTGCGGATGAATCTTTCTTCGTATTAGAATAGCTAAGTCATCAAAAAGCTCCAAACAAACTGGAAAACCCATTGAGTGAGCATTCTGATGCTACTAGAAGCAGGAGGTATCAGTCCCCATCAAGCATGAACTTGGCGATCAAATAAGCTACCCTTTTCAACTGTCCTTTCGCCTCATATCGTTTCATCACTCAGCTTCTGATCTCATGAGAAAAGAAAGAGATTGGATGTCCTACTTACGAAACAGCGTGTCTGCAGACCTTTCGTAGTTACCGCAAACTCACACAGTCGTCCGCAGACTTACAAAGTCACACGCTCGATTTCCCTCAGGGCACATTCTAGCTCTTACCTCTATGGGCAACCCTTCCTTTTTTGTGAACATGCTCAAGTCAATACACTCACAACCTCCTGCAGTCAAGCGAAGCTAATCACACGACGCAGTCACACGAAGCAGTCGCACTGTGCAGTTATACGAAGCAATCACACGACGCAGTAACACGAGGAAATCGCACTGTGCAGTTATACGAAACAAATGCTGGATCCAATCACATTGCACGGTCACACGAGGCAATCGCACTGTGCAATTATACGATACGAAACAAATGCTTGATCCAATCACATTGCACAGTCACATGAGGCAATCACACTGTGCAGTTATACGAAACAAATGCTCGATCCAATCACATGGCACAGGCACACGAATGCAAAGGTTGCTCGTCTTTTTGACTTTGCCATGTGATCAGCTAAGCCACTCAACACAAGGTTTACAGAAAGTGGTATCCCAAGGCTTAGACAATAATCAAAAAGGGGATTGTCCCCATACTCCCACTTTGACATGCAGGMACATTAGGCGAGCCAAAGGCAGACCCGCATACTCGGACTGATACCTACTTGCACTCACCAAACCTGCACATTTTCAAGTATACATTCGCCTACTCACAAGTGAGCCCGTACACCTACTAGTTGACACTCGCTCAAGCGAGCATGTGTAAGCCGAAGTGGTCATACGCTCACGCAGTTACACAGCGTAGCTGCGCAGTGTAGTCTCACAGTGCACCCAACACTATGCAGTCTCTCGCAGATGAAAAAGGAAAAGAAGAGTTTAAACCCCAATCGCACTCATAATCTTCGTCTTCATGAAACTTAAGCATACGGATACAAAAGTTGCGTGCCTTATTGGCCTTACAAAGAAACCCAACAAAACACCCAATACAAATAACACGTCCAGATTGACGAGTGCCTAATCAAGCCAACACCAACGCATCCAATTTCAGCCACACTAAACACTTAAGCTCGGCTCCCGCACGTCAAGTTTTCTTCATGGCTAGCATGTTTTGAATCGCTATTACGCACTGGTGCTACTCTCTTGTTCGCCCTCTTTCATAGTCTACTGGGGACTTATTTCTTTGTCATGATGCAACATGGTCAATCAATAACAATCAGCCGTGTAGACTAACCAAACTAAAAGGTTAACTAAAATTAGTGAAAACAAAAAGCGGAATTATTCTGCAAAGACTGGCATCGTATCTGAAGGCTCGATCAAGGCTGTTATAAAGGAAGGATGTGTCATTAGCCCTTGATTGCCATCTCCTTTATAGGTTGAAAGTCACACGAAAGTGGCGAGACATGCAGTCGTCAGAGAGGAAAGTCAGTCGGTAAGTGAAATCGCCCTCAAAAGCAAGAGGTTTTTCCTCCTCCCCACGGGCTTAACCAGTATCAGAATCTCTTTGCATGCGAGATGGTCCACCTTTCTCTCTCACGCCATTTCCGCATGCGTCGTCTGAAGTGTACGTGTTGATTCCCTCACAGGCCTCCCAATCCTAGAAGCAACAGAAATGGTCAGGCCACACGACGAGCCCGCTGTTCAGGGCGCGTTTGCAGACCTGCCTTCACCGCTCGCCTTGACGCGGCAATACGAGTTGTGCTCTGTCCATTACTCTTGTGAACCTCTTCACTGGCCCCCTTTTCAATCACGCTCAGCATGGCCCGTGATAAACGCACCTCCTGCCAATTAAACTGCCAAGACACGTCGTCCGCAGCTCGCACTGTCCGTGACGCGCGAGCGTCGAGAGGAAAACAGCCAACTCACGAAAGACCATCCAATCACCAATCAGAGTTCAATTCAAGGTCCCCTCACAGGGAATGATCAACTTCGATCGGCCACGCCCTAATCTCCCTGCGGTTGACGACACATCCCAGCATACGCGTTCTGTTCTCTCCCCTCTCCGCCGATGACTCTCCCGCCGCGTGCGCGTTCTTGGTCACATGCGCCTCACACATGTCTCTTGCCTCGGTTGACGTCAATTGGGCTCCGCAGGCTCATCACATCCTTTACACGTCTCTCGTTGACCGCCCCTTTCTCTGTCCAGCCCACACCGCCTGTCGCGAGTGTGCCGGTGCAACTGTACCTGCCTCCCCTTTTTCAGGTTTTTGTAATGCTCACACTTTCTCCCCTTCTAGTTAGGCCGTGCCACGTGTCACCCGTGTATCTGCGTAGCTGCCCCATAGCTCACTCCCCGCTTCTCAAAACCACTACACTTCGATCTCCCGGTCTTTCTCAATAGGCTCTGCAGGCTCGTAGCCTTGAGTGCGAATGCTGAGGCTATGGTTGACGTCAAACAGCTTCTCTTGAGTTCGCGCGCCCCTGCCTGCAACTCGCCCACATCTGTTGACTCCTCAATCGCCCCTGTCTGTCTCAACCCCTCCCGCTAACTTCATTCGCCTTTGGCAGTGCCACGCGTACGCCTGTCACCGCTTCGAAGCTCGCACCCCGTTTTTCAGAATGACCACCCTTCGGCCTCTCTCGCTCTCCCGGTCACGCCTCCTGTCGCGCGTGAGCTTATTCCACTCTCCTTACTTGTCTCTCAGAACCGTCCATGTTGACTCTCTCTCTCTCTCTGGGGACCTAGCCTCACATGCATTTCTTCCCTTTACCCTGTTTCTCTCTGGTCCCACGGCCTCTGGGCGTCAGCTGCCGTGAACTGGCTTCAGGTCCCTCCTCCACCGGCTTTGCAGCCCAGTGATGTCTCTGGATCTCGCCTGGTCTGATCCAGGACCTGAGGTCCGTCTCCCAGTGCTCCGCCTCGCTCATTTTACTCTCCCCACCTGAGTCTCGTTCCAGGTGAGGCTGCTCCTTGTCCGCCGTCTCCATCGAGGTCTCGGTCTCATGATATGAGACCGTTACCTGCATTTTCGTCGTCACGCCGTCCCTCCTGCAACGCCTCTCCACACGGTCTTTCGTCTCAGTGATAGCATCCTGTAGCCTCCCATCAGTCCGCGTCTCCTCCTCCTTTCCTCCCTCCATGTTGATCCTCAGTCTTAGCTCGTCACCCCCATCATAATTGAGTATGGTCGTAATCCAGGGCCCCTCCCCGGACATAGGCTTCCATCAAATCTGGTGGTACCAATAGCAGGGTCTATACCCATGCAACGCCATAGCCACCCAGAGATAGCTACGCCCACAATAGCCAACGCTTAGAACGTTACTCGCCCATATTGCACTAGAGGGCATAGGCCAGAACAGGACTTAGACCGCTGGGAGAATACAGCCTCAGCGTTTCCCCTCTATTCGCTGCACGYCAGCCTCACACGCTCACTCGGAAACCCAGGAGCAATCTCCCTTTTATAACACCCTGTGAGGCCGCGACCCCTGTGTTCTAAACGAGAGTCTCGAGTATCCATTTTTAGACTTCTGCACTCTGTTTTTTTAAAACTTCAATATTAATTAATTTAAAGAAAAATAGTCTACACAAAAAGAAAATGAAAAGCGAGGGGCCAACGGTCAAATCTCATTACAATAGACTGGACACAGTAATCCCATAATGTAGTACCGACGGCGCACCTTTTCACTTCAAAAGCAGACCACCAACCTACTCCTATCGGGTGCCCGTATCCGATGGTAAGGAGGGGGCTTATGACCCTCCATGAGGGGGTGATTAGCCTCCTACCGATGCGTTTGAGGGTCGCCCTTCTTTTGAGGCCCGACCACGCAGCACTCAGTCGGCACATATTCTCAGACAGAATAAGTGGGGTCGGCCAATTCGCCCTACTGCTCCAAATTCGGACCGTTGGCTTCCCCGCGATGTGACAAGGAAGGTAAAGCAGGGCCGTGCCTAAAAACCGGTAAAGTAATAATAACAAAAATAATAATAATAATAATAATAAAAATCGCAGAAAATGAAAGATGATAGTTCAAATTTCCTCCCCGAAGCAACCTCGCTTGAATAGTGGTGCGAGTCCACGCACAAGTCCAAAACCCGACTTTCATCCTTATCCCTTCCTTTTCCTTTTTACACTTCCCTTTTTCAGGCCCCACTATGTCTGCCTCCCAACATAGCTACTGGGGTCCTACCGCACGAAGCTTAGATGCACAGATCCAGTACAAGTGATATACGAGAAGTTGGGCCTGCTTAGGCCACAATACTACCGCCCGAACCGTTAGCAACCAACGGAGATATAACAGAAATAAATAGTAATAATAAATAATTAAAAAAAAACAACTTTGAATGATACGTATCGACGAACGACTAGAGAACGTCGAGTTCTCTCGACTAGCAGCCGTCAATTCACATAGACTAGGCTCTCAACTGTCATTTATTTTCCTTTTACATTTTCGCTTTTATTTTTATTCTCTTAGCCTTGTCTTTTTATGACAGTGACCATTGGTCTGTGTACCCGACCCATAACTCAGTGGAAAGGAACACGGTGCGCGGTAGAAAAACCACTTTGGCCCCTTTGCCTTCGCATCCCAGGGCAGACCCGGTGGCTATCACGGTTACAGGTCGGTTGTGCTCTGCTGTACAGCACGGCGCCGAGCCTGCGTGGACCAAAGGAAGGCCATGTGGCGCACCCCTTTCGTTGAGGGCAACTCCACAGGGACCGGTCCTCGCCGAGGTACAAACTGGATACTAGAAACAGCGGGCGCAAGACTCGTCCATTAGACTGGAGCATCAGAGCGAGGACTGGTACCAGGCAGGGACTCGGTACACAGAGGAGGGCCGGGACACCGCGCCCTCCGACAACGTGCGGTGTTCCTATACCAACTGTTACACGCCCAGTTGGGCGATGTACATATAAACCGAGGATTCACAATGTGATGAAAAGGACTGAATGGACAACGCAGTGCAAGTAGAATCTCAACAAGCAGTGTACATCCTAATACATACAAAATGGTGTGTTACAGTGTAGTGGAAGATTTAGATACAAGTCCTGACCTGATTGGGACTGACCCCTTTCACGTAGGATAAGATAGCGAAGCAGAATGCTAGAATAATAATGACTAGTCCAATGAACGTTTCAACGCAGACCCCACATACATTTTTCTCATCACACATGTGAAGAGGGGCCTGGCGCTAAACACAGGAAGAAGGCATGAGGTCCAGATCATGCACAGACGAAGAGGAGGGGATCAGATGGAGAAGAGGAGGGGAGAGATGGGAAAGTCGTCAACACGAAGTCTCTTTACAAGTCCCAAATAATCCCTCGTCAAAATGTCTGAAGTCCAATGTCGAGTCTGGATCCAAATGTCACCAAGCTCTCTCTCTCTCTCTCAAGTGTGCTGATGCAGTGAAGTCAGATAACGAGAGGGTGAGAGGGAGATGGTGGACTGAGAAGAGGAAGAAGAAGAACTCTCTCTCTCTCCTATGCCAGGTACTAACCTGTGAAGGTGGCACTGTGCTGCAGGTACCTCGAAGACGAAGCTGGAGCGATGGCGCTGCAGGTAAGTCCCTATGGCCTCTGCCCAATCTCTCTCTCACTAGTACTACTCTAACTGCTATGGCGCCCAGCGCTGAAGACTACAGCTAACGCTACTAGCGCCCAGCGCTGAAAACTACTGCTAACGCTTCTACTACTCCTGCAGCGCTCCTCCAGAGTGCTGCTGCCGAATCCTGAAGACTACCTCCTGCCTCCTGAACTGCACGTGAAGTGCCTGGGAAGTACCTAGGAACTACCTGCCTCCTGCAGGGCGGGCAAGTCTTATATAGTGCTGGCCCGTCCAGGAGGCCGCTCTTGCCAATGCCAAAACGTGCCAGACCCTGGGGTTGAAGCTCAAACAAAGGTTGTCTTGAAAATAGGCCAAGAATAGCCTGAGCTAAGACCCTGGTCTGGTGCCTGAGTTTCAGGGCGGGTCGAACTGATGAGGGCGTGAAAATGGCCCTCAGTTTCAGGCTGAAAATACTCAGGGTCGGAAAGTCCCTGATTTAGCCTGAAACGACACAGGTCCTGTAGGCCCTTGTTTTCAGGCTATCAGGCTGAAACGACACGGGGCCTGTAGGCCCTTGTTTTCAGGCTTTCAGGCTGAAAACAACACGGGCCTGAAAATGGCCCGTGCAGCCTGTTGCAGGCGCCGCATGTAACACCTTCCCCTCTCCGCAGTCCCTGGTAGCACAACAGGCCTTGCACACTCTAGCACACCATTTGGTCCCTGCACTGCCTGCAGTGCATGTCACTCCACTGCAGCATCCCTCATTTTTGGGGCGGCATATGCCAGACATGCACTGCCCTCCGCAGCAGACCTTCCCTTCCTACGCAGTCGGCGAAAGGGCAGCAGGTCTTGCATACTCCGGCGCAGCATTTGGTCCCGGCAGCACATGTAACTCCGTCGCAGCATCCTTCGTTCTCTGGGCAGTACGTGCCAGACATGCACTGCCGTCGGCAGCAGACCTTCCCTTCTCCACAGTCCACGGAAGCACAGCAGGCCTTGCACACTCCGGCGCAACATTTGGTCCTGGCAGGACATGTCACTCCGTGGCAGCATCCTTCGTCCTCTGGGAAGCACGTGCAGGACATGCACTGCCCTCGGCTGCAGACCTTTCCTTCTCCACAGTCCGTGGAAGTGCAGCAGGCCTTGCACACTCCGGCGCAGCATTTGGTCTCAGCAGCAGATGTCACTCCGTAGCAACATCCTTCGTCCTCTGGGCAGCACGTGCCAGATCTGCATTCCCCTTAGCAGCAGACCTTCCCTTCTCTGCAGTCCGTGGAAGTGCAGCAGGCCCTGAGTACATTTGGTGCCGGCAGCACATGTCACTCTGTCACAGCATCCTTCGTCTTCGGGGCAGCACATGCCAGATCTTCAGTGCCCTCCGCACCGTCCGCAGCGGACCTTCCCTTCTCCGCAGTCCGACGAAGCGCAGCAGGCCTTGCACACTCAGGCGCATCATTCGGTCCAGTCAGCGCATGTCACTCCGTCGCAGCATCCTTCGTCCTCGGGGCAGCGCGTGCCAGACATGCACTGTCCTTTGCAACAGACCTTCCTTTCTCCGCAGCCGGCGGAAGCACAGCAGGTTTTGCACACTCCCGTGCAGTATTTGGTCCAGAAAGCGCATGTCACTCCATCGCAGCATTCTTTGTCCTCGGGGCAGTACGTGCCACACATGCACTGCCCTCTGCAGCAGACCCTCCCTTCTCTGCAGTCGGCGAAAGCGCAACAGGCCTTCCACATTCCGGTGCATCATTTGGTCCAGGCAGCGCATGTCACTCTGTCGCAGCATCCTTCGTCCTCTGCGCAGCACGTGCCAGATATGCACTCCCCTCCGCAGCAGACCTTCCCTTCTCCGTAGGTCGCAGAAGCGCAACAGGCCTTGCACACTCCAGTGCAACATTTGGTCCAGGCAGCACAAGTCACTCCATCGTAGCATCCTTCGTCCTCTGGGCAGCAAGTGCCAGATCTTCACTGTCCTCCGGAGCAGACCGTCGCTTTTCCGCAGTCCGGGGTAGCATAGCAGGCCTTGCACACTCCAGGGCAGCATTTGGCCCCGACAGCACATGTCACTCCGCCACACCATGCTTCGTCCCCTGGGCAGCAAGGGCCAGATCTGCACTGTCCTCTGCAGCAGACCTTCCCTTCTCCGCAGTCCACAGTAGCACAGCAGGCCTTGCACACTCCAGCGCAGCATTTGGCCCCGGCAGCACATGTCACTCCGCCGCGTCCTTCGTCCCCTGAGCAGCAAGTGCC